CCGATGCCACCCTGCGCGGTGGAAGAAGGCGGGGTCGACTGCGCCGACGTTCGCGGGCGAGCTTCTCCTCGTAAGGCCACGCATAAAAGCGCCCTCGTTTCCCATGTGGCGTGCCGTGCTGGCGGCCCGCGTAGGCCGCAGCGCATGGTCGATGTGCGTGCTCGCGTGAGACCCGCTCGCGTTCGGCGCTCATCTGAAGGCCCTCCTCAGGCCTCTCTTCCCTCGGTCCCGACGCTCGCCCGCCTCCACAGCCGCCGTGTGGGCTGCATCGGCGACCGTGCGTGAACGGTGTGCCGACGGGATGCCCTCGGCGACGGCATCGCCGAACGGTCCTCAGCGAGGGTTCGCTCACGGCGTGGTTGGTGGGCCGGGCTTGATCAGAAGCAGTGGGTCTAGGCCTCCTAGATGGGGTCGGAGTGGATGGGGTCGGAGGATCGCGCCGCATCAGCGATGCATCGACGGTGCGGCTCGATGTGGAGACCGTGTTTCTCTACGCCGACGTCGCCGATGCATCGCCGATACGTCGATTGGCGATGAGAAATTGAGAGATTCGAATGAGGCGTCAGCGTCGACAATAACGAGGGACTGACCGCCGCCGGCAGCTGCTGCCGCTGGCCGCTCACGCAGGACGGCGACCGAAGCCTGCGTGCCGCACCCGTGTGCGGATGGGTTCCCTCCTTCCCGAGCGTGTCGCGCAGGCAGGCGTCGCCCTCGCCTCCTCGTCTCGCGCTCGTGGGCCCCAGCGCGGGTCCAAGAAGTGCGCGCGGAGCGCCAAACGTTGATGCTTGTGCAGCTGTTTCTTCTTCTGCTAACCTCCCACCTCCCCCCTCCTCCTTCATGGGCAATGCCGTGGCTGGCTGACCCGAAATGCAGTTGACAGGGGGGGGAGGGTTGGGCACAGGTGCTGCTCAATCGAAATCCCTCTCCTCAATCCTCCCGGCCTCCTCCTCCCCGTCTTCCTCCTGCCCCTCGTATCGTCACCCTCTCCCTCTGCCTCCCCGTCCTCTCCCCCTCCCGTCTCCTCCCCTTTCTCTTCTCCCCCCCCTTCGAAGCCGTCCACGTCCGCCCGCCTCCCCCACCCCTCATCCGCCTCTTGCGGCGCCCGCCTCCTCTCCTCTCCTCCTCATCGCCCCCCCCCCCCCCCCCCCGCAACACCCACTCGAGCTCACTCCACTCCGAATGCCGATCTCCTCTCTCCTCTCCCCCACGTGCTAGGGTTAAGCCGGGCCTGTCCCTCTACAGGAGGAATATTCCCAAATAGTAAAACAAGTTGTGGGACGATTGTTCGATTATTTGTTTGATTTTTTGTTTCAAATCGTCCTAATTCCGCCTGTAGGAGGACATGCCCGACCTAGTGCTAGTGCGAGCGGGGCGCCGTGCTTCTCCCCCTCCCGCGCGCCGCTCTTTGGCGCGCAGGGGCTCTGTGGCATGCTGCTCAGGACGCCCCGCGCCATTCCGCCGACCCCCAGAGGCGACCGCGCCCTCGAGGGCGCGAAGTTCTTCGCGCTTCGCGCTTCGGGCTCGGCGCCGGTTCCCTCTCGTCCCCTTTTCCCCCCCCAGCGCGAAGTCATTCGCGCTTCGCGCAGCGCGCGCCGCGAAGTTGGGCGCTCTTGCAGGAGAGGAAGTGGCCTCCGATTTCGTATGCGTTGCTTTCCGCGCCCCATCGTGCTGCCTGCGTGTCGTTGTTTCTTGTTTCTCCCCCTCTTCCGGTCACTACTTTTTGGGGGGGCCCTCTGAGGGCTTTTTGGGGGTTTCGTGGGAGGCATCTTTGGAGACAGGTTGGGCGTCTTGGGGACCATATCGTGAGGGACGGCTCTCTACGTTATGTTAGAATCGGGTATGTCCTCTACAGGAGGGAAATTCTAAATAGTCAAAAAATAGTCCGGGGACTATTTCTTAAAACTATTTTCACAATTTGGGAGTATGAGTTAACTATTCTTATTTTTCGTCCTAAATGCGCCTGTAGGAGGACATGCCCGACCTATCGTTACGTGGTTGAACTCGTATCGTGATAACCGTCCGAATTTCCGCCCTGTTCACTTTCTCTGGTCCTGGCCGAGTCCGGGGCCACTGCTGATTTTCGGCCCCATGGCTTACTTTCCCCGAGCCGTGGGCCTCCTTCCTCCTCCCCCCCCCAACCACGCGCCCGGGCAGTCAGCTTCACGGGTGGCTCCTTGTGTTAGCGTCTGTCTGTCTAGGGGGGCAGGATTCGTCCGCCCAGGCCGGCGCGGCAGTCAGCAAGAGACTCGTGGCAGGCTTCTTCGGTAGTCGTGGGGCCCTCTTGGGCCATCGATCCGCGCCCTCTTGGGGACCTCTTCGGCTGTCTTGGACCAGTGTGATGGGCTTCTCGGGCGGTCTCGGGGTTCACAGCCCTTGAAACTTGTCGGGATGCGAATGCCATTTGAAAGCAGCAATGATTGTTGCCTCTTGAGGCCGTCCTGTGGGTGCTTTGGGGCCCTCTTTTGGCGTCTTGCATCTTGCAGGCCTCATCGGGGCTTCCTGATGCCATCTTGGATGTTTTGGAAGTCTCTCTGGCGCGTGGGAGCCGCTCTTGAGTCACCTCAGGGGAGCATCCGGGGCATCTTGGAGGCTGTGGTGGCTGGAGGCCCTCGGAGGGCCAGAGAGGTGTACCAGGGAGCTCGTGCCCCCACCCTCCCTCGCAGCGTCAAGTCGGGCCTGGTTCTGTACAGGAGGATAACCGAAACATAGTCCAGAAATAATCCGGGGACGATGTTTCCACCATTTGGGATACTTTCTGGATATTTCTTACGCAAGTATGTTTAGTTTGTCTTCCGAAGTCCGCCTGTGGGGCATGCCCGACCTAACCCTGACGGGATTGTGTACCCCAGGGGAAGGGAAAATGGGGGGGAAACAGCCAAAGTGTCACACGCCTTTGCACTCCTGGCAGGCGGGGTGTCGGCGGATTTGGGATGTCTCTCTCACGCAGGACTTGTTTCAGATATTTGTCTTTCATAGCTCTCCCTCTGCAGCGTCAGCCCCACTTCAGGATCGGCGCTTTGATCCCGTCGTTTAGATTTGCATGTGGCGCGGGCCCCGCTTCCAGATCCGATTCCTCCCTCGTCGTCGTCACCCCCCTCGGTTCTCGGCTCCTCCTCCTCGCCCTCTTCGATGAGCTTCGCGTTCTATGTTTTGTTCAGTCTGTTCGTGGTGCGAACGGCACGCGCGCGAGCTACAAGGATGTTTCAGGGATTGGCACCTGCAAAAAGCAACCGCTGTTGCCTCCCAATGCTTTCCCCTCCCCCGTCTTCCCCTGGTCATCCTGTTCCTCATGCTTCTCCTGCTAGTGCTCCTGGTGCCTCTCCTCCTCCTCCTCCTCCTCCTCCTCCTCCTCCGCCTCCTCCTCCTTCTCATCTCTCTCCTCCTTCCCTATTCTCCTCGTCCTCTTCCTCCTTCCCCTCCTCCTTGCCCCCCCCGACTCCTCGTCGTCTTCCTCCTCCCCCCCCTCCTGTTCAGCCTCCTGCTCATGCGCCAGCCCCCTCCCCCTCCCACGTGCTTAGCTCCCCTCTGCTGATTGCGCATCGCACACGCGGTGAAGGGCCATGTTTCGGAGACCCAGGTCCGCCGGTGGGGCGCCCGCCGGCGGAGCACGAACAAGGCGACGCAGTGCGCAGGCATGGCAGGGCTCGCTTCGACTCCTCCGGTTCCTCTCGGTCGCCGATCCGACTGCTCGATCCGATGTTCTGAGCTCTCCTGGGACCGGGTGGGCGGGGCACGCTGTGCGCGAGAACGCCCAGCTCGTCCGCCTCCTCGCGTCACCCTCCCTCTTTCCCCCCTCCCCCTCCCCCGCCACCTCGTCGACCTCTTCGTCATCGTCGTCGTCGACTTCTTCTTCCTCCTCCTCCTCCTCCTCCTCCTCCTCCTCCTCCTCCTCCTCCCTCGCTTCCTCCTCTTCATCCTCCTGCGCCTCAGCCCAGACATCCCACGACATGCTTATTGGGGTGCGCGGCCTCAGGCGTCCTGGCCATTTCCCCAGGGGGCCGTCTCTCGTCCCAGGGCCCGCTTCTGATGGCCCCGGGGCACAGTGGGCCCCGGAGGCCGAAACATCCAGGGAAATCGGGAGCCTTGGGACGGGGGTCGATGCACACGGGGGTTAGCCTAGAGCGCCGGATCGTGCAGGATCCTGCGGAGCCAGGGTCGCACTGACCGGGGCTCGGGTGCAGGACCCTGCAGGAGCTCGTAGGATCCTGCAGGAAGCCCGACTGGCCCGCGTCTGGATCTTAGTCGGCCCCAGAAAACGGCAGGGCCGTTTTTCCACCATTTCCGAAAATGTGTTTTGAAAATTATAAAAAAAACTGCAAAAAATGGCTCTGGGTTTGGAGCCGGAGCAGGAGCCGGCATTTAAACGACGACGGAACCAGCAACAACAACGGCGTCGCAACCGCCAACAAAAACGGCCAAACGGAATGTATTACAAAAACGGCCTTGTCGCTTCCAGGGCTTACTGAGGTCTGAATTGACCCTGGTCAGTAGATCCTTTGTGTCGATAGAGGCCTCCTAGATGGGGTCCGAGTAAATGGGGTCGGAGGATCGCGACGCATCGCCAGTACATCGCCTCTGCATCGGCGATGCATCGTCGACGTCGGCGATGCCCGGCGACGTCTGCGTGGAGAAGCTCGGGCTCCACATCGAGCCGCATCGCCGATGCATCGCCATCTACCCTGACCCCATCTGCTCTCACCCCATCTGGGAGGCCTAGAGTCGAGGGCCTGGAAGCAGAGGTCATCCACCACCCCACCGCGTCTCCGTGACCCCTCCGGGCCAGGCCGGGCGGCGCTGCTGCCCGAGCGCGGGGCGCGGCTGATGCCGCGGGCGCGCGCTTTCGCCCAGCGGCCCGCGCAAGAGAGAAGACCTCGGAGGAAGCGGCTTCCTGATGAAGAAACCTCCTCCCGAAACTGGACCAGCGTTTCTCGACCACGTTGTCGGAAAGCTGGCCCAGTCTCTTGCGCACGCTCGCCCTTGCAGCGTTAACGGAGACAGCTGGCCCAGGCTCGCTTCAAGCAGTTTCTGAGAAGCTGGCCCAGATTTCGCAAGGGCAATGGGACACCAGAATGCACCGATGCCGCTATTCCCCGGACCTCTCCTGGGGTGCGTTCCGAACAGAATGTTTAAGCGATGGGAGAAAAAACACATATGCGCACACATATATATATATATATATATATATATATGTACAAGTATATACATACACATAGAGAGAGATGTATATGTATACATATATATATATATATAAACAGAATGTCTAAGCGAATCCAGCGGTGGCAACGAGGGCTGCCCATGAGGTCCCAAAAAGGGGAGACCGAGGGAAGGGTAGCGGTATGGGAACCTTTTCCTCCTCCGGGAGTTTGTTTGATCACACTTTCGGTTACATGAGCCCTCCGCGGCCCCCTGCCGTCTACCACCCACAGAGCCATCCCAACCCAACCCGAGGGCCCCAACTTGCCCTCCAGACCCAGCGGGGAGGGGGCGTCGGGGACCACTGGAAAAGCACATGTGGACCCCCCCCCCAGCCCGAAAATATGGGTCTTCGGGTAGTAGGTACTCCTCCTCCTTCTCCTCCTTCTCTTTTTCGGCGATTCTGGTTCGATCGGTCCGGATCGTGGCGACCAGCCCTTTCTGTCGTAGTCGACGTCGTCGTCGTCGCTTTCTCTTTTAGGTTTTGGCCCTCGCGTGCGGGCCGCGCCACCAGTCAGAGTCAGAGTCCTTTTCCTCCTCCTCCTCCTCCTCCTCCTCCTCCTCCTCCTCCTCCTCCTCGCTCTTTATTCCTCCTCCTCCCTCCTCCTCCTCCGTCTCCTTCTCCTTCTCCTCCTCCTCCTCCTCCTCCTCCTCCTCCTTGCCCTTTCTTCCTCCTCCTTCTGCCCTGGGAAGCAGAGGCGGTTTCTGCGCAGACTCCAGCACGCTTGTTTGGATGGGGGAGGCGTGGCCAGGCCCGAGTGGAGATCTTGACCTTGCGCGGATCGGGAGTCACTCTGCACGCCTTATCCTGCGCAGCGCTGCCTGACAAGGCGGCGGAGTGTGGGTGGGTTGGTGGCGGGGGGGGCAGAACGCCACGCAAGCAAAACACGCTCAAAGAGGAGGAGGGGGGAGAGACCCTCAGAGGTGCGCCCGCCCGTTGGTTTTCAGCGTTTTGGGGCGTCCTGGCGCCCATCCCTTCGCCATGGCCGGATCGCTGTCGCAGCCCTGGCCAGAACGCACCTTTGGAAAAGGTCCGAGGGGGCACTTTTACGGCAGGTTCGCGTCGTGTCGAACGGTGGCGACCCCAGCGCGCGCGTTTAAGGTTGAACGCCGCCCGTGGCTCTGAATCGGCCCATCCTTGAACGATCCAGCGTTAATGGAACGGCCGATCGTTCCAGTTTGAACGATCCCCGCGGTGTCAGGAACCAACGCCGGGGTCGACACGACGCGAACCTGCCGTACGTGGCATGCCTTCATATCCAGGGGCCGGCGTTTTCGGCCCAGCAGCCGTCCGTCTCCTGGCCCCATGATTGCCAAAACCAGCTCAGGATGCAGAGCCGGGCCCGTGGAAGGGGTCCACGCCCCCGGGGTGCCCACATCAGGACAAAAACTCGACGCTTGGAGAGGAGGGGGAGGGCGGAGGGAGGAGAAATGGGGGGAAGAGGAGCGGGGAGTGGAGGAGGAGGAGGAGGAGGAGGACGAGGAGCAGGAGGAGAAGGGAAGGAGGAGGGAAGAGGAGAAGAGAAGAAGAAGGAGGAGGGAGGAGGAGGAGGGAAAGTTGAGGTCTAAGGGGTGGAGTGTGGATGAGGTGGGCGTGTTGGAGAATAGCTGCTTTCCATATGTTTCCAGATTAGGGTGGCTCAGGGCTTCGCAGGGGTCTGGAGGCCTTTGAGATAATGAGGAGGAGGAGGAGGACGATGAGAAGGGATGTGGGGGGAGGGGGAGGAGGAGGGGGAGTGGGAGGATGAAGAGGGAGAGGGGAGAAGAGGATTTTGAGGAAGGAGGAGGAGATGAGATGGAGGAGGAGGAGGAGGACGAGAAGGAGGGCGCGGAAGCGGGGATCGAGGTCGACTAGGAGACGGAGGAGGAGGAGGAGGAGGAGGAGGAGGAGGAGGAGGAGGAGGAGGAGGAGGAGGAGGATGCGCGGGAAGAGGGAGACGGAGGAGGTGGTGGTGCAAGAGGGAGGTGCAAGGAGACGCCGTGGAAGCAGCCGGGCGCGAGCGCGGGAACGCTCCCTCGTGATGGCCCCGAGGTGAAGAGCCAGCAGCGGGCGTCGGGAGTCTTCAAAGCCCAGTGGCGCGCCTACTGCGACAAGAACGGCAGGGGGTTCTACGACCCTGCCAGGCGAGCGCCCCCCCATGCCTCCTCCTGCCTCCTCCGCCTCCTCCTGCCTCTTCCTCCTCCTCCTCCTTCTCATCCTCCTCTTCCTCCTCCTCGTCCTCCTCCTCCTCAGTTGTCCTGCTCCTCGTCCTCCTCTCGTCCTCTTTCTCCTGCGGCCATTTCCTTTCGCCCTCCTCCTCCTCCTCCTCCTTCTACTCCTAGTCCTCCTTCTCCTCCTGCTCCTCCTCCTCCTCCTCCTCCTCCTTTTGCTCCTGCTCCTCTCCTTCCTCGGCATCCTCCTTGTGCTCGGAGGCTCCGCGAGCGCTCCCCGCTACCCTAGATCTAGTTCTCCTAATCGTTATGGTGGTTATGGTTGATGTGGTGGTCGTCGTCCTCCTCGAAAAATGCAGGACCTCGTCCAGAAAGGGGGCGCTTCCTGCGGTGAAGAGGAAGCCTTGTAGGGACTTGTGGCGGGGAGGCTTCGGACGGGCGAGGGGTATACTCTGGTCCTCCTCCTCCTCTTCCTCCTCCTTCTCCTACACTTTCCACCCCTTCCTCCTCCTCTCCCTCCTCTTCCCTTTCCTCCTCATGGTTCCTGCTCCCTGATGGCTTCATCGAAGGCAGCCCCCCTCCCCCTCCCCCCCAGGGCCGGTCGGCCGTGGGGGTTTTAGTCAACCCAGTGTCAAGCGACTCTTGGAGAATCGCTCCAGGAGTCGCCGGCAAGGAGCGGTAAGATGTACCATGAGGGCTCCGACGGCAATCGGCTCTTTCTGATCCTTCCCTTCCTTCCTTCTCCTCCTCCTCCTCCTCCTCCTCCTCCTCCTCCTCCTCCTCCTCCTCCTCCCTATCACCCCGTCCCTCCCGTCCCCTCCCCCTCCTCCCCCTCCTCCTCCTCGCCTCCTCCTCCTCCTCCTCCTCCTCCTCCCTCCTCCTTCCTCCTCCTCCTCCTCACCTCCTCCTTTCCTCCTCCTCCTCCTCATCCTCCTCACTCCTTCTCCTCCTCCCCTCCTCTCCTCCTCCTCTCCTCCATCCTCCTCCTCCTCATCATTTCCTCCTCCGTCTCCCCCTCCTCCTCCTCCTCCTCCCCCTGCTCCTCCTCCTACTCCCTCCCTCTTCTCCTCCTCACATTCCTCCTCCTCCCTCCTCCCCTCCTCATCCTCTCCTCCTCCTCCACCTCCTCCCTCATCCTCCTCTCCTCCCTCCTCCTCATCCTCCTCATTCTCCCCTCCTCTCTCCTCTCTCCTCTCCTCCTATTCCTCCTCGTCCTCCCTCCTCTTCCTCCTCCTCCTCCTCCTCCCTCCCCCTTCCTCTCCCTATCCCTCTCCCCCTCCCCCTCTTCCTCCTCCTCATTCTCCTCCTCCTCCGCTCCCGAGGTTGCCCCCCACACAGCGCACGCGCTGCACCCTCCTCGCACAGTCCTGCGCTCCCAGGGCCCAGGCGTCGCATCGTCGCCGCCCAAAGCGCCGCTCGCCCGTGCTCGAAGGCCTCTCGAGGCGGCGGCGGCGGCGCTCGGAGAGGCCTGCGGCCGTCCCCCCGGGCATGCCTCGGGGAGACTTCGGGGATTGCTCGGGGAAGTCCAAGAGCTTTCCGGGGTCCTGGGCGAGGTCCACTTCCTCGGGAGAGCAGAAGGCGGCGAAGGAGGAGGAGGAGGAAGAAGAGTAGGAGGAGGAGTATGAGGAGGAGGGGGATGATGATGATGATGATGATGATGATGATGATGATGATGATGATGATGATGATGCTGATGATGATGATGATGATGATGATGCTGATGATGATGATGCTGATGATGATGCTGATGCTGATGCTGATGCTGATGTTGATGCTGATGCTGATGCTGATAATGATGTTGATGATGATGATGATGATGATGGCGATGATGATGATGATGATGCTGATTTTTATGATGAGGATGAGGATGAGGATGAGGATGAGGATGATGATTATAATTAAGATGACGATGCTGATGTTGCTGAGGCTGATGATGATGGTGATGATGGTGATGATGCTGATGACGATGATGATGATGCTGATGTTGATGCTGCTGCTGATGATGATGAGATGGTGCTGATGGTATGATGTTGAGATGAGGATCATGATGGTCATGATGATGAGATGCTGTGATCATTATGATGATGATGATGCTGATGCTGATTGCTGATGCTGATTTTAATTATGCTGATGCTGATGCTGATGATGATGTTGATGATGATGATGATGATGATGATGATGATGATGATGATGAGTGATGATGATGATGATGATGCTGATGAGGATGAGACGATGGTGAGGGTGATGGTGATGGTGATGGTGATGATGATCCATGATGATGATCGATGATGATGATGATGAGGAGGATGAGGTGGAGGAGGAGGATGGATGGAAGGGGAGGGGAGGGGGAGTGGGGATGGGTGAGGGGGTTAGGGGGAGGAGGAGGAGGAGTTGGAGGAGGAGGGGTAGACGGATAACGCTACAGGCAGTGTTCCTGAAATTCATCCAACATCAGAAAAGGAGGAGACGCAGCCTATCCATGTGAGACAGGCGAAGAGGAGGCGGAGGTGACGACGGATGTCTTTTCATCCTCCTGCTGCTCCTTTTGGTCCTCTCCAAAAGACACGAAACCAAGAAGGAGGAGGAGGAGGAGGAGGAGAAGCAAGGGCAGGAGGCAGTTGGGGGTCGTGGGGAGAAGGAGGAGGAGGAGGAGGAA